CGGGTTGCCACCTGTTCAGTATGATTCAGTAAGGACATTCTGGTTCACTTCTGTTCCCTTCCACATATCCAAACCATCTGACAGCAGTTTACACTGTTGGCCAGAAACTCAGCTAGTATAGAAGGACTTCAATATTAATAGAATTCTATACAACAGCTGCATCACGGTGGCACGGTGGTTAGCACTGTTGCCACACAGCAAGAAGGTCCTGAGTTCAATTCCACCATCAGGCCGGGGTCTTTCTGTGTGGAGTTTGCATGTTCTCCCCGTGTTTGCGTGGGTTCTCTCCGGGTACTCCGGCTTCCTCCCACCGTCCAAAGACATGCAGCTTGTGGGGATAGGTTAATTGGATAATCCAAATTGCCACTAGGTGTGATAAGTGATGGTTGTCTGTCCCTGTGTGTTGGCCCTGCGACAGACTGGCGACCTGTCCAGGGTGTACCCCTGCCTCTCGCCCTATGACAGCTGGGATAGGCTCCAGCGCCCCCCGCGACCCTGAAAAGGATAAGCGGAAGCGAATGGATGGATGATATATCATGTATCGAAGCTTAAGTGTGTGTTTATGTGACCGATGCTGGTTTCCTCTTTCTGGCGCAAAGTGGGCGATAAACAAAAGACAAAAGCGATCAGCTGATCATTGATCAGTTTCATGATTAAGTAGCAACAGGAGAGGGAGGGGGAGAGAATGAGAGAAGAAGAGGCAGCTGTGCAGCGTAAACGACAGAATAACTTCAGCTTTGTGTCTTTTTCCAAACTGCTTTCCTTTTCAGCTCAATACGAAACGTGTAATATTTTCTCTGAATGAGGGACCATTCCATTTTTTAAGGAGCCGTTGGCAACTCTACTAACTAACCTTATGAATAAAATAAAGTTCACTATCAGTAACATCATAGCACCCACCCAGCTGTATAGAAACTCCGTCATGCTAGCTAGCACGCAGTACGAGTTATTGTAACTGACGGTAAAAAGCACAACGAAAATAAACTCCAGCTAAATCTGAGCAAGCACCGAGCACGCTGCCACGGGAATGTGACATTCACAGAGAAACCACTGGCTCCCTCCACGGACATGACCGCTGTGGCACCGGGGAAACCTCCACCTGCCCCACTCCTGCTAAACAGGTGAAAAAAGAATTAAGAACGACCGGACTCAGTGCTGCTTAGAGCTGGGCGATATGAGATTTTTTCATATCACGATATGTTTTTTTCATTTCAGGCGATAACGATATCTATCACGATATAAGCCAAATAACTATATTTGTAAGATTTAAATGTGCCGTTGCTCACAAGTAAAATGTGAAATAATCAGCAGCTTGTTTTTATTTAAATATTTATTTCCCATAATAAGTTCAACAGGGTAGATGTACTTAAGGAACATGAGACTTTTTCAGATAAATAAAGGCAAATATTGCAAACTACACAAAAGGCAGCCGCTAAAGCGTTTAAGTTTCAAAATAGAACAAACGAAACAGACTAAATTGTCAATTCCACTTAGAAACAAAATATTAATTCTAAAAATAAATCTTAGTTTGTTTTACAGAAGAACAGACAAAACTGACTAACTTTTGTCAATATCAAATAAACTGAGAACTAAAAGGAAATTCTCAATCTCTCCTTGTTGTATAGCTGAGCTTTTCAAACAGTTTTAACAGTTACTTTAGTCTGACAAAAGCCGAATGACGAATTAGCGCTTCCAGTCAGAGACTGAGGCTACGTCCACACGTACACGGGTATTTTTGAAAACGGAGATTTTCCGTTTTCGTTTTAAAAAATAATCCCGTCCACACATAAAGGCAGAAATGAAGGAAAACGCTGCTATGAACATGCCAAAGCAGCAGGTGGCGCTAGATTCCTAACCGTGCAGAAATGTTGGCCAATCAGAAGTCTAGAAGCCTCGGTGGGAAAAAGTAAACAAAGCTGGGGCATAGAAGCAGAACCGAGTCGTATGTGTGGACGGACAGTAACTGTGTGTATATGTAAGCATTTAAACACTGCAGAGAGTAGAATTAACAGTAACAGTATTGTAGAAATTCATTTCACCGAAACAATAACGTGGCGCACAGTGTGACGCATGCACCAGTTTATTGTATTTCCAGACTTGCTTTCGGCACAATTTACAGTGCACGCTACTCTGTTTTTTGTCAGACTTGAAATAGCCGAAATACCTTCACACTACGGAACTTCTATGGCTCTTCCGTTTGACAATCTCTCCGGCATTGGAACCATCATCTGTTTTCTCTTCGGTCACGCTCGGTTGATTTTTCTAGTCGGCACACTCATTTCCTCCATTACCCGCTGGCTGCTTCCCAAACAAACACACGTGCGGCTTGGCACTTGTGCTGTACGTAACAAGTCACGCGACGTGACGCTGCGGCTGTGATTGGTTCGGCTCTGCGCTACTTAATTTGGATTGGCTGACCTTTTTTTTTTTTTTTTAGAGGACAAGAGCGGCGAGGTCTATCGCGATAGCTTAATTTCTCTATCGAGTAAAAGTTATATCGCGATACATATCGTTATCGTTCTATCGCCCAGCTCTAACTAGTGCTGCTGAGTCTTTGATTTTATTTTTTGGCTTATTCTTTTATATGAAAAAGCTTTTTTTTTGTTTTATTGGCAAATACAGGACATTGGGCTGTGATCAAATTCAGCGTGCGATACATCAATGAATTACCCAGATTATTTAGCTCGTAACACTTGTTAAAGTAGTCATTCCTACCTGTCTGTATTTGTATAAACAGTTTCTAGTAGTTTTCCTTTCATTATTTCTGGTGGGAATGTTTAAATATGCATTTGTCATCATCTTCAGCATTGTTGTCACTGTTCGTCTGCAAAGTTATGACTCAGTGATTAGACGTCTGAAGGTTTTCCAACAGAAACTTGGCTGTAGGATTGAGGAGGAAGTGCAGCCTCGCTTGCATGACTCCAGCATGACAGAGATCTGACGCCAAAGCCCAGGTGTTCCTTTACTGAACACCAAGCGCACACTCACCAACACACATGACGTAGCTAACTGTAACCCAGAGTAATTTCCTGCACTAATTTCCTGCCATTGAACGCATCACAAATAAATGACTCCAACCACATGACTTTGCTTCTTTTTTTAATTTTATTTTTTTCTCTGTGTTTTACTTGCATCTATTTGAAAGAGTGAGAGTAAACACAAAGCATTAATTTTATATACTGGAATATGCAGAACATACGTTTAAATGCTAAACAATTTCTTCAAGTCAGAGACTGTTGCATATCATTTCATTTTGCGATGTGTACTATTTTAATGGATTAAAACTAATAAAATGATTTTTAGATTTTATATGATGGATTATGCAGAAAAAATAGAATTGGGCTGAAAGGCCTATTGCTTTATTACGTATTCATTTTGTTTTTCAAAAGTAACTAAGTAACTAATTACTTTTTAAAATACGTAATCAGTAAAGGAACAGGATTACTTTTTTGGAGAAGTAATCAGTAAGTAGTAAGTAATTACTTCTTAAACCTGACCAACACTGCTCCCAATCCCCCCTGTGCACCGCGCTGCCTGCACACGTTTGGCTGATCTTCATTACCTTTTATAAGTTTTCAAATAGGAATGCTACAGCTGTGCAGCATGTGCAATAGACACTGTTATAACAGTAGGATGGCATGCATTGGACTCCTTGCTGCTACTGGTGTTCAAGTTGTGTGGTTTCTCCAGTTAAAATATATGAAGGGTAATAAGAACATAAAACTTCATCTTTGAACCATTATTAAAGTTTGCTCAGAGGTTTTTTTTAGTGTAACCTCTGCTCTGTGCCGCTGCTGAAACAAGCAGGGTGTCTCCTGCTTTACACAAGGTCTTAATTTACCCACGATGCCTTGAGAACGAGCACAGGTTAATTTCGTTCTATCAATCATTTCCACACAGGAGGCGTCACCTCGTTGAAACGATCGATACAGAACATCCAGCAGACGGAACGAGTTTGTTGCAGCTCTGTGTGCATCAGCAGACACGTCTGAGTGCGTTAATTGCTTTCAAAGTGAGACTACACGCACGCAGACACACACACACGCACACACACACAGCCTCTCTGCTTTTACAGCCAGCGTGGGCGTCTTAAGAGAAAGTCAGTAGTAACTTCAGTTTTAGTCAAAAATGAGACGGGATGACATTTGTGAGAGCTTGTTTTAGAGACAACGGAGGAGCTAATGGCGTGACTTCTTACTCAGTCTCTCAAAGCTCACATCACAATAAAAAAAGACAACATTTACAAACAAGGCGAGCAGCAGCAACAGTAAAAAAGTAGCGCAGCTTTTTGCCTTCAGTGGTTCTCAGAGTTACGGGACAAAATGTAATTAATCTAACACCACGTTCAGCAGAACAAATCACTGACACATGAAAACATTTTATTATATTCTGTGAAACACTCTGAGGTTAGTGGTTGACCATTACGAGGAAACAAACTGGTAGGAAACAGCAGCAGCTTCCTGCTTTTAAAGTCAAGTTTTTACTGACCCCTCCTTCCGCCCTCGTCGACTTGTGAATACAAAACAGCCGCAGAATTGTTAATATCAGGAAAACGATTCTTGCTATTGGTATTTACATTAAAAGCGAACAATTATCTGTTTCCTTATTGCATACATGATGATGTAATTTCAGATATACGGGTAAACAAATCTAAAGCTTCAAGATTTTAAGTTCCTTTTTCAATAGTAGTCAACGTGAGCAGGGTAGCAGATCAGAAATCACTGGGTGCTGCCCCTCTGGAGGTTTCCAGAAGCTGGCCAATCAGAAGAAAACCTCCCCGGGGCTTGCTTAAAAAGAAAGGAGCTAAAGTCTTTTCAGTTTTAGAGATGACTTGAGGGGCAACACAAAGGGCCCGTGCAAGTTGAGACTAAGGGTTTCTTTTTAGAGCTGTGACTGATGAAGAATAAAAATGGCTCTGCCATTGCTACTGCCTCTCATCATGGATTTAATTCCACACAATCAAGGAAAAGGAAAAAGCCTGTTTTTGCACACTGCCTTACCTTGTAGACCTGCCCATAGGTGCCATTCCCAACCAGTTCGACCAGCTCAAAGATACCAGCTGGGTCCTGGGTGTGAAAGAGAGACAGGAGAGTGGGAGGTAGAGGTTAAAGAGGGAAGAGAAGGAACAAAAAACACAGCGTTATTCAGGAGAACTGAACTGTGATTCACAGCTGAGCAGGACAGAAGGATGAAGCCATTCAAAGTGGAATCTGACCTTCATGCATGCACTCATTAAAAGGTTGACTGAGCAATGCATACCTGTGGTATTACCCTGTAAAAAGCCTCCCACTGTCACCACACTGTTATTAGTCCTTCAGTAGATAACCTCTGCATTACTCTTACAGACTCGATTCATTCGGCAGAGCCAGATATGCCTCTTATTCACCAGAATCTCACTTTGCGATCTCTCATCTTGCCACGGAAAAGTTAGATTATAGTTTCGGTGGACTGTGTGGAAAAAGCACACACATTATTCAGATCTATTCCTGTTAATGTCACGTTTTACTGCTTCCTGAATACTGGAAACCTAACATTGCCACTGAACACCTTAATCAATTCATTCAGTGCACCACACTGATGGTTAAATCTAACATTAATGGGAAACGTACGTTGATAAAGAACTTCAAAATACCTGACCAAGATGGCAGCCAAGTGGAAGGACTTGCTCCTAGAAGTGTAATAGTTTGAAAGAGCTTCGTGACGGGATGGAAACATTAAGGGGAGCACCCCCAGCTGAGCTGTTCACTCAAAACTATTTCCTTTCTATGGAACTAAAAGAAGCACACAGCTGACTAACACTATGGTGCAGGCAAACCTCTCACCACTTCCTTCTGCACAGTGATCCGACTGTCAGGTGGAGTTCTGAAGAAAAAGTAGTTCCTGCGGACATTTTGAAAAAAGAGATTCTTTGGGTGCCACAGGAGCCGTTTCCACTGCAGTCAGGAGACAGAGAGCGTCTCCAAAACTGGGCACACCAAATCAGTGCAGACGGGTCAAATCAGCCCAGAGAAAACCGTGCATTTGGTTTTAAATCTTCCCTTGGAATGTAAAAAAATGTGTTTATTTCTTATTATAACGCAACTACTAACACATGGTACACATACAGGTACAACCCACACAGGTCAAATCCTACCCACATATAAACACACACACAAGATAATCTTATAGTCAGGTTTATTCAAATTCAGCAAACCTCCCAAAACACACACGTCGATCTTTAAGCATACCTGAGTGGTGCGTGTTTGGTATTAGCACACCTGCGTGTGCGTGCATGCGTGTCTGTGTGTGTTGGTGTACAGTAGGCCACAGGAGAGCGTTGGGACTGTTACAGCAGAGCCTCCTGAAGGGGATTAGCTTAAAAAGCAGTGTTCCTTTTCAGTCAAGGTCAAACAGAAGCACATCTAATCCTGGAGGAACGAGCCTAGCGTGCATCCACACACACCTGTGCACAGCTTTTACCAGCCGTGAGACCACACATGTATGACAAACACCTGACGTGAAGAAGAAATTTGGATGGCAAATGAGGGGAAAAGCTACAGAAACAAAGGTCTGCATTTAACCTGAGGGGCGGCTAATGAGATTTCACACTGACATGTAAAACACAAGTTTGCATCCACAAGCAGTCTGCAGCTGGGGACCAGCATTTTCCACAACAGACTCATCGCTACACCTCCTGCACATATTTGAGGAAACTCACGAGCTGTGCACCAGAAATATTCCTTCTACCTCTAATTAATCCTCTCAGGATTCGAGGTTTTCCTTCGCTAACCCCTTCTTTAAACTGTAGCCTGTTACACTGGAGCACTGCGTACACGAGCTGAGTGCCGCTGCAGCTCTGTGAACACAAAACGATGCAGCAGGGCCGAGACCATTGTCTGCCACAGGTATCATCTCCACTTCTGCAAATTCAACAGTGCAGCAAAACCACAGTGGAAACCCAAAAGAACAACGTGAATAAGCTGTCATTGTTCTCGTTCCTTTGTAAGACATCACTCTGCTCACTCATTGGCTGAGAAAAACATCTTTGGAACATATAGACGCTCACGCTGGGTGTAAACAAACCTCTAGCTAAGACAAACCGGTTCAGCCTCAAGCTACAGGTTTTTCTGCATAAATCGAGTCATTTTGACGAACATTTCTAGGGATCTCAGGTTAATCCAAACTACTGGATTAAACAGCGTCAGTGTTCCACGTCTACTTTTGGGCATAACCACTGAACTTTGGGACTTCTTCTCAAAAGCTGAGCGGCTAAGTGGATACTGCTGAGACACCAGAGGAGACGGCGCTGACTGTCTTATAAAGAATGAGTGGATTACTAAATGATTCAACTGGGCTCAAGACTCAAGGGGTCAGGAGGCCTGTGGGCTTCAGCTGCAAAATGTCAAACACACTCAGTACAACAAAGAAACACAAAATAACCAGGAAGAGACTCAAAAGGATCATAAACAGACAAAAACAACCAAAGAGAGACACAAAACGACCACAAAGCTTCTCAAGAATACCAAGAAGAATTAAAAAAACACCACGGAATTTAAAATAACCACGAGGAGACTCAAAATGATCACAAAGAAACACAAAATAGCCACAGAGACCCACAGAGACCCACAGACGATGGAGATAAAAAGCAGCGCTGTGTGTTTTGTGTCTCCTTCCATCTGCAGGATGATTTTTGGACCTTTGCTGCCTGATCTCAGGGGCTGTGGTCTCTGAAACATCCACGACTGCACTGTTTCATGAACACCACGATGCTGCCTGCAGCCGATGCACAGCTGTGATTTTGACCGCGCTCCTTTCGGTTGACACGGTCCCCTTTCATTCAAATGTCCCCGACCGTCTCACCTGTCCTGAATCTACAAAGCCACCCTCCACCTCACCCTCCTGACTCAGCCCCATTTCAGGCAGGCGACTGTAAAATAATGGAATGTGACAGACGCCAAGGTCACGTCCCCATGTGAGCCTCAAACAGCTATTAATACAACATCTGACCGGAGCTATCAGAGGAGCTTAACCCCAGCCTGAGCATCCAGGAGGAGGAGGAAGCAGGTTTGCCTATAGGAGGAGGGGATCACACAAGATCATTTGGGACTCTGCAGGAACAGGAAGTGTGCTAGTGTGAGTGTGCTTGCGACAGGCTTTGCGTCACGCAAACGCCCCCCCCCCCCCAGCTCTATCTGCTGCGTCCTGGGTGACCTAATTTCAGCTACTCATGGAGGCTGCAAAGGATTTTTACAAGAAAACACACACAGACTCCTCTGTCTTTATTTGTCCCAGCGATGTGTGTGTCCGTGTGTGTCTGTGTGTATCTCCTTTTAGAGATACAAAGACACACACAGGCTTGCAGTCCCACCCGGTCGATCATGTCCAGACTTGATCGTTACTCTGCAGGTACATCTGTGTTGCATAAGCGGCAAAGAAAGGGGAGCTGTGCCTCACACACACACACACACACACACACACACACACACACACACACACACACTGAATTAAAAAATAAGAAAGTTTATACAAATGTGATTCTATCATTAGTTTTCCTCTCACACACACACTCTCACATTCCTGCACTGTCTCCTTCTGCACATCTCACATCCTGGCGGGGGCGCGCGCACGTGCACGCACATAACCCCTTGCACACAGTGCACGCTGCTGCTGCTGCTGTCGCCACAACATCGCGAAATGGCGGAACTCGCTCCTGTTGCGGTTATCGTCGCTATTATTCACGGTGTGTGTGAGTGTGTGTGTGTTAGAGTGAGAAACCTAGAGCAAAACGCGCGTGCACGAGTGAGGCAAGTGAGCGCGTGCACCACAAGCCTCCGTATCTGTGTGTGCTGTGAAAGTGTCAATGAGCAGGCAGCTTAACATCTGCCCCACATACCACAGACAGCAGCCTCTACTTGCTGCCGTGCGCACGCGCAGGTGTGTGTGCGTACGGGGTTGGTGCACGCGCACAGCTCGGAGCGTCGTTACATCGCGTCCCAATTGTTTAGAATAAATAAAAAAGGAACAAACAACAACAGGAGGCTGCCTGAGCCCACACTCTGATATCCGATGTGATTTCCTCAATCACGAGCATCACAGCCCCCCCGCATACAGCACAGTGTAACTCGTGTGCACGCGCAAGCACAGCAGAAGCAAGAAAGGAGAGGAAGGCACAGAGACGCATCCATCACCGGTGAGGATGGAGAGGAGAAGAAGGAGAAAAGGAGGAGGGGGGACAGGTGTTCGGCAAACTCACACGCACGCGCACAGGCACAGACAGCTCATCACACACGCAGGGACACATTTACCCGTAGTGCAGACAGGTCTATCTCGTCCAGACTCCGTGCCGGGGAGTCGCTCGCCATGGTTCTCTCGGTAGACACGGGACTCAAGATGGAAGCTTCCCCAACGACCATCGACCGAGAGGTGCAGAGCGGCGGGGAGGAACACGCTCACACTCCCGTGCAGTAAACAAACCCCCCACCCACCCCTTCAGAAAAAAAATCCTCGGAAAGATCCCGGTGCAGGCGATGCTTCAGCCCGAGAGGAGCAACGAGCGCTCCGGCAGGGCAGAGGAGCCGGAGGAGGAGGGAGGCGGGCGATGTTCGCGGAGCTCCAGGTGCTGCTACATGCTGCTCGCTCTGCGCCGTGAATCCTCTGCTACATGCCTCCACCTCGACACCCCCGCCCCCCCTAGATCCGGACAGTAGAAAGAGGAGAAGACGCGCGCGGACGGAGAAGAGCGCACAGCAGCCGAGGCGCGCGAGGACAGCGTCCGTGCGTCCGTGTGCGAGGCGGAGCAGCAGTGCGCTTCCCGGGAGTGGCCTGACGAGAGAAGGCTGCGCTACTCACAGAGACGCACACACACACACACACACACACACACACACACACACACACACACACACACACACCTTCAGTGCAAAGGTGAAAAGAAGACACATTGACACAGCTGACTGTTCCTGTATTATTTTAGCGCTAATCAGCTCAGACACAAGAAAAACCCTCAAGCGTTAAATGTCAGCACACACAGGAGGGGCCCTGCCCTTTTGTGTGTCCGCTGCCAGAGCGGCTTTCATAGAGCCCACATGGGACTTTTCCAAGACCCTTTTCTGCCCTAATTTCACATCAAAGGGACACTTAAGTGGGGACATTAGCGGCCTCTCTGCTTAGGCTGGTCCCAGTTTGTGCCTCCGGACCAGCAGCAGAGGAACGCTTCAGATCGTTCAGAAGATGTCAAACAGAAGCTTCTCAGGGTATATCCTGAAGACTCTCTAACCATCTGGGTGAAAAGTATTTCTTTTTTGCATAAAACTGCTTTATTTTGTAGAAAAATGCACAACACACGCAACAAACTCCATAAATCACGCTTCGTGTTGTGTCACTTGATCTGTATTTTTAAAAACATTTTTAAAAATTGTTAAAACTTCAATACTTTTTATTTATTTTTCAGCATAAAAACAAAGACTGAAGTAATGAATACAGAAAGAAATAGTAAGGAGCAGATCTGGGTGTATTTATCAAAAACAGTAGAAGAAACAAAGGGTGTGTGGTAACTGTCTGCCTTCGTTTTACTTTTTGCTACCTCGAGTGGCAGAATCGTCAATAACTCCCACAGACTGTATATAAAAGATGCACATGGAGCCACCCTGGTGCTCATAATCAACCATTTTGAAGCTCCATTCCCGTTTTGTGGCTGTCCCCATCGCCTGGGGCTAGAAAAAGAGCAGAGTAGACTTTACTGGCCTCATTCAGTACACACCACACACAAAACACACAATCTATGACATTATATGATTACTGTGCATCTGGAACTGAACATGTGGATGCTAAGGGTCCTGAATCTGGTCTGTGCCTGTGTGCCCACACAGATCCTGAATAGTGTTAGTGATGACACCAGAAATCTCCACACCAGAGACTGGAGTGCTAAATAATCAGCTGCTAGCTGGTCATTGCACAGACGCACCTCGCTGCAGTTTCCTTCCCATAGTTTTGCCTTGGCCCGATGCTCAGGTGATTTAAGATTTTAGCGTTTCTGAATTTTTGTTGCTTCATTTTGGAGAGAATCATCCGTCACTGTCTCCTCACTCAGTGCACTCACTGCCTGCTGGCTAACCCCAGCGCTTGTCTCTCATGTTTCCTCACAGCTGACTCTCTAACCGTGTCCTCGGTATCATTCAGCGTCTGAATCATTCACCCAAATGTCTGAACCGACTCCACCAGCACCATCTTGGCTGCTGCTGGTATCTCATTCAGCCGCCAGCTGAAGGTCACTTCAAAGGAGATTTTTGTGACTAATTTAGTAGCAGTTTTCACCCCCAGGTGTGTTATGATGTTTCTGTTTACCCCGACTTGCTTCACCTTTGCCACAGTTGCAAATAAAAACAATAAAAACATTTGTTTAACAACTTAACTGATTAAATAAAGATTCCACTGCTCCATCTTTTGGGACATCTTGGTATTATACCAGCCCCGCCCTGGTTTACTCCACTTTAACAGCTGCTTCTTCACATTCTGTTGATAGTTTTAGTTCATTTTGGAAGATTTTAAACTATTTTTAAAACCCACAATTTTTTTGAGGATGTTGTTGTATTTACTTTATTGAAGCCTGGCTCGGAGACTTTTCCTAACAACAACACAAATCTCCTCCTTGCGTTTTCACTCCTGGTGTTCTCTGACCTGTCGGGTTCCAGGGAATCTTTCGTGTTTCAGCCTGTGTAGCTCCACCCACTCGAACCCCAGGCTGCAGTGACCCCACCCTCCCACCCCCGAAGCTGTCTCCAGGTCGAATGCTCAAACGCATGCCTGAAAAGCTCAGCCGTGATTTCACATGCCCTGCCGTCACTACGCTCTGCAGCCACTGACAGATTGTCAGGTAGAGTTCTGCAGGACACGCCCTCCGAACCATGAGTGAGCTGTTGTTCCAGCTAGTGAAACACTCTACTGCAAGGCTTTCTGCTGTGTCCTTTAATAGTTTGCACCAAATTTATGTTCCTATGCATGATAAAAAATCTTCATCATGTGCGAGTTTATTGCTCAAACATTTTCTGTTAGTGCAACTTCTCTTTTGTCTTCTTGTTGCATTTCCTCCCTTTTTCCTGTCTGGAGTCTAAAGCAGTGATTCTGTTACCCACAGACAGATATTCTGGACTAAGCACATTTTAAACTGTCCATGAGAGCAGTGCTTGAGTTTTGGATTTGTAACAAAAAGGGGGGATGTGTAACGGGCCACTTTCCCCTCCTGTAAAGAAGAGTCTCTTTGTGTTGTTCGACATCACTCTGGAGTCATTTTGGTTCTCTTCATGTTTCCTTCCTTTAATTTTATGTGTTTTTGTGTCTCTTTGTTATAGTTTTGTTCTACACAGCACCGTCAACTTCGTGTTTTAGGGTTTTTATTCCCAGTTTACTTATTTATTGGACATCTTTTCTTTACCGTTTTCCACTTTTTTGCTGTGGCTTTGTCATCTGCTTGGATTGGTGGACTTTGTTGTCCTTTAACATTTCTTTTTGATCAAGTTGAGTCTTTTTGTTGGACTTTTGGCAATTGGCTGTTGGAATTTGTTTGTTGTCTCTGCTTCTGTGTGTTTCTGCAGTTGTGTCTTTCATGTCATTTTCCTTTTTGAAGCTCGTTGCCATTGTGAGCCACCTTTAGTTGTTAGTGTCCTTTCAGTTTCTTCATGGTTGACTTTTTAGAGCTTTTTGTGATTGTGTTCTTTTTTCTCTTTGTGGTTGCTTTGTGTTTCATTTTCAGTTTCTTTGTGGGGTTTTTGTCTCATGATCTTTCCACATTTCTTTTTTGGTCTTGTTGTATGTTTATTGCCTCTCATCTTCTTGCAACTGCTCTCTGCAGTCAGTTTGTGTCTTCGTGGACATTGTTACTTTATGTTTAGTTTGTGGCAGTCTTGCTTTGTGGTTGTGTTGCAATATTTCTGTTGTTGTTTTGTGTCTGGCATCTTTGCTCATATTTAGCAAACCATATTTTTGTGTTTAGTTTTTCTTGTGTGTATTTTTAGAGCTGTAATTTCTTCTTTGCCACCTGTTCAGATTTCTTCAGTGTTGGAACTTGTGACTGATCTTTCTGTGGTTGTTCTTTGCAGACAGTTTGTGTCTCTTTGTGGCTGCTTTGTCTGAGTCATTGTGGCACTTTTTTTTGCACAGTTTCTTTTTCTTTTTGGTGTCTCTTCTGCCATTTTGCGCCTTTTATAATTGTTTTCTGTCTCTTTTTGGTTGCTTCCCATACTGCTCTTCATTTTGTCTGTAGTCATTTTTCGTCTTTCTTTTATGTCTGTGTCTCATTGTGGTTGGTTTGCGTCTCATTTTTCTGATACGTCTGATTTTTCAACAGTAAATGTTGATTTCCCTCCCAAACCCTGCAACAGGTCTTTTCTAAAATCGTAAGACGACTGTTTGAACCCAGTTTTTCCTCATTTCCACCACTGCATCTGTGACAATGTGACAATTTTGAGAACCAAAGTTCACAGAAGTTGGAGTTTTTTACTAGGCAGGTTTTGTATTAGTGAGTTTTTTGCATTCCCCCCTCATATAGCACCTGACAGTTGTGATTCAAACTTTGGGAATAGCAAGTTTTGTGGTGCTATGCCAGCGGTTTTTGTGGGAAAATGTGTGGAACCGGTTCTAGATTCAGCACCTGAACTACGCTGGTGAGACAAGTTGGGGCAGGATCATCCTGGCAGTCCAGTTAAATGGAAAACAGATAAGAGCATAATATTACAAAAGGTCAACTGAACAAACAACGACCAGTTTTAAAGCTTTTATTTTGAAAATTGTAGCTTTTACACATTGTGATGTTTGTTTCTCAGAGACAGCTGCTGATTTGTGAGATACTTTCCAAAAGATACAATATGTTTGTGATTTTGTAATAAAGCATTTTCTTTATTGAAGAATATTTCAATATTAAACTCGTTAAGTTGGACTTAATGGGACTAAGCTTTCCTCTCACACTTACAGATCTGCCCCGGCTTGCTCTCAGACTCAGGAACACTGCAGCGTGCCTGCTTATGGTCACAAATCGACAACCAATTATTGAGAACAAAATAAAAATAATAACTGTAGTAATACTAGTAATTAAGTAAGTGGGCTGATGTTCCCAGGACACGCCTCATTCAGTGATGTCAATCAAGGCAGGTATTTCCTGCACACTCCCATACACACAAAAGTGCGTTGTCTGGCAACACTCTGAAGTTTCATGGTGGTCGTGTTTATTTTTCATGGACTGGATTTGGCTTTACTGAGGTTCACATGGCTGGCAGGTTGCAGTGCAGTGGTTACCATGGTCACCTATCAGCCAAAAGGTTCCTGGTATGAGCCCTGCCCTCAAAGGGCTGGGTCTTTAGTGTGTGCGTTCCCTCTGGGTATTCCCACAGAACAGGAAAAACATGCATGCTGATCACAGGTGAGAGGCAGATAACATGCTCCACATGTGTGCTGACGGAGACCAGAGCGGGCTCACATTACACCGGTTTTAGAATCGCTGCACTGGCTCCCCGTGTGTTTCAGGATCGATTTTAAAGTTCTTTTATTGGTTTTTAAATGTCTTAATGGTCTTGGGCCTTCTTATCTCTCAGATCTGCTTTTACCATACGAACCCTCGCGGACCCTGAGGTCCTCTGGTACTGGCCTTTTGATTGTCCCTAAAGTCAGGACACATACTCACGGAGAGGCAGCTTTTCAGTGGTATGGTCCTCGTCTGTGGAACAGCCTGCCGGAGGAGCTCAGGGCCGCAGAGAACGTACATGTTTTTAAGAACAGGCTCAAGACCCACCTTTTTAATTTAGCTTTTACTTAACGTTTATTTA